CTTCACTAAGTCTTCGACTAATTGAGAGGACTCTGGAATCTATTCATTGCGAAAGTATTCGGTGACTCCTTCTATGAGTTATTGCCCCTGAATCTTTCTTAATTTTAGAAATAATTAAAAATTTTCAAAACGATAAGTGATAGAGACATGGGACCAACTGCATAAGATTCATTGACCTTTGATCATAAAATTAATGCAAAGGTCAAAGGTCAAGGTCATTCGAAATTTGAGAAATTGTGTTTTTTTATATCTCTTTTGTTTTTAAACATATACTTAATATCTTAGCATCATAAATAAGTACTCTTAAAACTATTTTAAATATTTTATTTTTGTTCCCTAAGATTAACCCTTTTAAAAGTTATTGCCCCTTGTGCAAAAACCTTGTAATTGCTACTCCTCCGAAACTGTAGACTGTAGAGACACCAAACCTTCACTAATGTCTTTAGGATCTTGAGGCATAACTACACTGTATAAGTGCAAACGGATCTGATGACCTCTTATATGAGTTATTGCCCTTTAACGACTTTGTACTTATTATTAAACAATATAACTTAAAAACTATAAGTCATAGAAGCATGGGGTCAATTGTATTGTGACCCTTGACCTTTGTCCTTGAGCATTCTCAGGTCAAAGGTCAAGGTCATTTTAATTTTTTTTTATTTTCATTTTTTTCTATCCTTTAAGACAATTTTGGTTTCTTCTTCATGGAATCTTATTTTAAGGAGTCATATATAAAACAAAATTGAAATTCAAAGAAGGTGGAAAGACCTCTTATTGTTCTGTGAACAATAAGTCTCCTAGTTATGAACTGCGACGCTTCACCCCGGCATATTTCATGAATCGCGTTAGCGCTCCATGATAAATATGCCAGATGGTACACCGGCGTAAAGCGTTGTAGTTCATATGTCTCATGAATCCTCAAAAGTTAAATTCATTTTTTATATTCACATTATTTGTCTCATGAGTTGCCGCAAAATTTCTGCCATTCAACTGTCATTTTTAAGGCAATACAATGGAGATATTCACTTACAATTATATCCAAGAAGGATATGGAAATAACGAACAGTATTCAATCTCAACGTCCATTAAACAAATATACAAAATAAGAGCAGAGCAAACACGGACCCCCGAAACACCAGAGGTGGGATCAGGTGCCATGGAGGAGTGAGCATCCCATGCTGACCGGTCACACCCGCCGTGTGCTCGTTGTCATAATCAGGATATAACGGAAAACATCCGTGGTCAAATCAGTGTATAAATAATGGACTAACAATTGGCATGAAAAACATCAGTCAGCATTTCATTCAATAATAAATTGTATTTGCTGACAAGGTCATTGTATCGACCATAGAATTTACGAAATGATGACTTCAGACGAGACCGCTGATATTCTTACATACAACAAATTTTGAGGCAAGACTTCCTGAGAAGCCCTTAGTTAAAACCTCTCATGGGGTGCCAGGAGCTCCCTGGATCGGTACAATTTTTCAATGTTCAATATGCAAAAGTTTACAAAATCAAAAAATGGAATTAAAAAAAACCTGATTATTTATCATTGCTGATATTTCATTTTCACAATTATACGTAGATATTTAGTTTCATATTAAATAAATATAGATAGATAGATAAAATATACATTTAATAACAAAGTACAGGTTTGCGTATTGAAAATGAATAGGTGATATCACGATTTCGAATAGGTGATATCACCTAGGGGTAGACAAATAGATTTTTTCAGTACTTGCCCTCGGACAGGTTACCATCGTAAAACTACTTGTCCTACCAAAAAATCTGCTTGTCCCACCGTTTTTCTTAAAATACATAGAACTGAAGCATTGATATTAATTTATTTTTGAGTGAGACACCTAAAATCACGAAATTTAGATGAAAATGATTAATTTTAAGGAGTATTTTTCCTCAAAATTCTGCAATAAAATACATGACAACATGTACCCTTTTTAAAAAAAGTAAAATTGTATTTATTAAATGGAAAAAGGTGAAGATATCGGACACTGATCAATCTCATAAAACCTACAAACAAAACGAGTCTGTGAACAAAACACTAGGCCTACTGTATGCTGTGTTATTGCCAGGGAACAGCAATCAACAACAATTTTAATACCACTAGCATCTGTATTCACAGTATGAATTTAGTGCATGCATTTTGACAATAAGTGTCTAAATTCCCATACCACGTTTTATGTGACATCAATAAGTCCATGTTTTACGACATATGCATATTTTCACAACACGTTAATGGGTAAATTCAAGAGGAGTTCCGACTATCCGATGTATGTATGTACAGCCGATGCAGTAGTCAACATCAGTGAAAACAGGTACTTTGATGTGATTCATAATACTTTAAAAGCAATAACATAAAATATATTTTTTTTTGTTACTTGGAAAACAACTTGTCCGCGGACAGGCACCTGTTATCAAATTACTTGCCCGCCACCCAAAACTGGTTGTCCCGGGCGTCGGGTAGTGCTATTTGTCTTCCTATTTGACAAATAGGTAATATCACTTTTTGCCAGTAAATACTAATATGGCGCCTTATATATTTTACTTGTTGATCAACACATATTTTAGTTTTACTAAAGCAAAACATGGATACTATGGAGCTGACAACTGCTTACATTACCACTTGTTTTTTTTTTCTCTTTGTTGTCCAATTTAATGAATTTTTGAGGGAAGGGTTAAATATGAAGATATTTTCCGTTTCTGCTCCTCAAAATTACTACAGAAAATGAATTTAGATCTTTTTCCTTAAAATATATAAAAATCAAAATTGTTTGATGTAACTGTAATAAGATGTTTTTAAATACAATGTATATCATATAAATATAATTTTCAAACTAAACTACAAAGAACAGTAAAAAGTGCGGGTTTTTTGCTTGGTTAAACCTCAAAACGTGTTTTAAACAATTTTTCATCTTTATATGACTTCTTAACAATGTACGAAATAACACACAAAAATACAAAGCAAATGAGCTAATATTTCGAGTAAAAAATATATATAGGAAATTCGGATTGGCAAATAACTGTAAATATTAAATTTGGTCATACATCTGTTAGACCTTATATGATATCATCACTGTATGCATAAAAGAAAAAAAATCTAGGCATCACTTGATTGAGAACAGTTTTTTTTTTCATTCTCCATTTCATGGAAAAAAGAAAATAACCTCGGCCTAAACTTGGCTCGAGCTCTCAATAAAAAAAGCATTAAAAATTAATCTAATTGACCCAAAAACATAGCCATAATATTTTCTTGAATCTATAAAATTTTTCATATATCACTTCGTAATAATAAATTCATATCGGTTTAGGAATTTGTTATTTTAGCAAAATTTTTTCTATTTTCAGGAAACGAGGAAGAATTAAGATTTGAATTTGTAGGTGGTGAACTGCATATTTACTTGAAAGGTATTATTTATTATTTAATTTATTCACAAATAACATGTTCTTAGATAAAAAAAAAATGAAATTAATAACGTCATTATACTTTAACCAAAGACGCCAACAAAATAAATTTTTAAAGCAATGCTGTGATTTTAAAATAAAACTAAAGTATTTTTGATTATCAGCTTTGCTTAGAATGGATTTTAATTGCAAACAAAGAAATGATAATGTTACAAGAAACCAAATTATAAAAACATAATAAAAATCTTCTGACATCATGCCGATTCAAATTTTCTTTTTAGCCCCTATAATGGAAAAAATAGGTAAACTCAAAGCGATAATCTCCGATGTGGATGGTAATGAAGAGATATTTGAGAAAGTGATTAATGAAATCCCTAACCTGGAAGAATTCTTTCGCTCAAAATACACATTCTACTTTTGAAAACATAACGAAAGGATCTATTACAATTGTTCTGCAAGCGGAGTCTACGTATGCCATGACGAAGTTAAAACAGTTCATAGAAAATGAGGATTTTTCTAAATTTTTGGCACAGTTATTTAAATCTAAGGATGTACGACCATTTTTGACAAACGAAAAGTACAACATTAAAGTTGAGATCAGAGAAGTGAAAGAACCAGCAGGTAATTTAATAACTATACTCATTAAAGAGATTTATAACAGATACCTTTCGGAATGGCTAAACAGACATAAAAATGTATTCTTTGTATTCCAGATCCAACTTTTGGTGTTTTGCAATCCATTGATCGTCCAAAATTAGAGACTACGTTTAGATCGCGTTTGGAGAGATGTCACAGTTTCCTTTTGGAGGAACTAGAGCCACGATGTTTACTGATGGATCAAGCTGTTGCCGAAATCTTTGGGTCGTGTTTTGATAAGTTCAACCAGCCGGGCTTGAGAACGATAGAAGCTGAAACCTTCTTAGAGTATCTTAAGAATCAGTCCGAGGAGAAAATTAAATTTGTTCTAGAAAAGCTGAAAGAGAAAAACCAATATATATACGACCAGCTGTTTCCAGATACATCGAAATATCAGGATATTGGTAATGAAATAAAATCATAAGAATACGTTCCTTTTTAACATTTTTATCTGAAATATTTTATTTTACGTTTTAAATGATTTTTATACCGTGTAAAAATACTTAAATTTTTCTAATTGCTCAAAATGTGAAATTTTATCTGTAAGTAGCAGAAAGTAATAGCCAATTTACATCCCCTTCATAAAACAGACAATTCTGTAAATGGAATAGAATTAAGAAAATGGATAAAATAACTCTGTATGTGTGTGAGGGTGTGTGTATGTGAGGGTGTGTGTGTGTGTGGGTGTGTTTGTACACGTGCATGCAAGTGTAAAAAATTATTATCCACAGTCAAGCTGAAAGTGCATGGAAACATTACACATCAGGAACAATGCAGACTTAGGCCTCTAAAACATCAGAGGTTGAAGCAGGTGCCAAGGATGAGTATGCATCCGCTTTCCGATCGGTCGCATACGCCTTGTTATCAATTAATTCAGTGTGTAAATATTAATAAAAGTCTTACAATTGTTATTTAAGAAATAAACAAGTTATTCAGTGAACATTGTGTTATGTATAGCAATTATGGAAAATATGCAAGCAGAGCTATTGCTATTCATAATGTCATGTTCAGTGATTAATCGTTGTTCATTACTTATATTTGCATTCTTTGATGTTGTCAAGAATATCAAAGGAAGCTCTGGCTTACATAAGGACACGGATCCTTGTCTTCAGTAAAAATAAAAACTGCTTTAAAATCAGTAGACCTAATTAATGTATATGTCCCTTTTTTAAAATAAACTATCAAACATTTTTTAAACTTATATTTGCCTCTCAGCCACAGATATTTGAATACAAGCTGTGTCGTCACCACATTCTCATATTTTGTTTTGATACAGCCGTGACGTCATCGTTCAACGTTAATGAAACCCTCAATATAAGGGCTGGGCGCTAATATCGATATTTCAATATATTGCAATACAATGGCAAAAAATATCATATCGCAATACGATTTTGTAATATCGATATATTGGCAATATGCTTAAATTAAGGAATTTTAGCATTAAATATAAAAATGGACTTATGAAAGTTTGTTATTAAGCCAAACATAACGACAGAAGTTGTTTTGTGGGAACAATTGAGAGCATAACTTTAATTGTCAATTGATAATGCCTTCTTGTGGATGTATGTAAATGTCGGTTTTAAGGTCAAAGTAAGTGGTTTCTTTTTTTTGTGTATAATATTTAAGAAAGAAATAACATGTTTATAAACTTCAATGGGAATTGAAGTGGGTCGGTCACGTGATCAAATCCTGTGAAGTCCGAAGTTTGATACAAAATTAAGTATGTTCATATTTATCAAAATTATTTTCAAACGACCATTGACAAACTAGGTATATTTACGAGTTCCTTTTATATATAAGGAGCTGCCTTTGTTAAAAAGCCCGGGATTTAATTGGTCGTTTAAAGATTCTTTTTTTTATTTAGAAATCGAACAAGTCAAAGGAAATATTTTGGACACTTTACCGGAGTTACTGGATATAGTGAGTATTCCCTCATTCCAGACACCTCTGTTGAGTGCTGGGGTAATAACACCGGAAGCACTGGATTTTATACACAAGAGCAGTAAAAGTTGTAGAATAGAAACTTTGCAGTTTGTCAAATTGATTTTACATAGAGGACCAGAGGCAATAAAACTTTTTCTCTCAGCTTTGGAAAATTCATGTGGCGAAAGCATATCTAAAAATCTTCTACGGCCAAGGAATGTTGAAACGATGAGTGCTCGTAAGTAAAACATTTTAAATTTACTTTAAAATGATTAACTCTCATTTTTAACATTCGATTGATGCATTTTGTAGCTCTAACGCTGCAATGCATAACTGAAGAACATCTTGTAAATTAATGATTATGTCTTTGAAACATTAACACGTATATTAGTTATATACATTAGATAATAACTTTTTTTTTTACACTTTTACAAAATTTTCTATAAATTCAGAACGGAGAGGACACCCAAAGATAAACTACAGAGTCTTCAACGAGGAAAGCGGATTGCTGTTTGAAGGAAAATTTGTACTAGAACTCGTCAGACAGGGTTTGTAAAGAGAAGCTCCTAAGCTAATCATAATGATGTAAACAGTTAATTAAAATGATCTATGATATTCGTCAGAATTTAGAAGAGATTGTTTTTTAATAATGGTACTTGGTTACCATAGCCGGAAGAAAGGAAGAGGACAAGAATATATTTAAGAAAGACAAAGAGCCAACAGTAGGTGCAAATTTGGAAACACTACCTGAAGACGATTTGTCCGAGACTGTAAGTTATTTTTCTTTATCAAAATATAGCTTAATTCTATAGGTTTAAAAGTAACTACGTATGTATAATTTTGAAAAAGAAAATAAAATAAATCAATGTTAGAGGTTAACAATTGTCTCCAAAAGCTCCTGTACTTTATAAAAAAGTTAATTTTACAGCGTTACAGAAAAATTACTGTTGATAATCTAAACTAACTGTACATCCATCATGGGTTTTAATATGAAATTACTAATTACCATGCAGAGTGGTAATTTTTGTTGGCTTTGGTGTATGAAAGAAAACACCAATCAATTTCCATACTTACCCACCACCAAATCATAACCAACGAACACTTGCAATAACTGTATGTATCTGTGTTTCCTTCCTGTACATTTTACAACAATGAACTTTATCTATTCAAACCATTTTGGCTTCAAAATTATGTATTCAGAAAAAAAGTTATAATTAAGGTAAGTCACTCCTGAAATTTGTTATATCAAGGATTTTTTGAGAATATCTGAGTGTGTTAGCGCTATGACATGGCAGCTCCACCTCTGACTATATAACTTGATTGCTCTTTTGTTACTAAGGTTCTAGTTTTAAGATTTGTTGAGCTTTTATATAACACGTCGCTTAATCAAAAGGTTGAATCCTTTGTTCTCTAAATTTCCGTTTTTAAGTGAAATTATAGTTTAAAGTTTTTAATTTTAAGTTCACTGAACCGTGACTGTATTGCTTTTTATAGGTACGACCTATTTTACTCGTTGTTTGAATTGTGTTGCCAAGTCGTTCCATAAATTGTTTTACTCAACTTTTCTATTTTGACTCTATTGGGATTTTACCGGTACGAGCTATCTTTCTTTTTGCTCAGATTGGGTTGTCAAGTCGCTCCACAAATGTTCCTACTGAGCTAAATATACTTTGACTTCAGTACGATTCCCTGTACGAACTATCTCTCTCTATTTGGTTGGATTGTGTGACAAGTCACTCCACGTTTTTTCGTACTCAATTAATATAGTTTCTGCACGATGTGTTTTGTAAGGCCAAACACTGTTGGTGTGTCGGGTCGTGCCAAACATTTTCGACTTAGAAGGGGCACGAAGGGTGGACGCAGGTTCATAAGACGTATCCACACTGTCTGTGTTGGGCGGCTGAGCTATGTGGAACATCAACTTGGGGTTAATAGAAATAATTTAGTGTACATCTTCAATGATACTCTCAACAATTCCTGTTCTATCGCAAAAGTTCCAAATGAAACATGTGAGACCTTCCCTATTCCAACATTGATTCATCACAGGACAAAGAGAATTGACAATACAAGCTGTCGAGATGGTTCGAATCTTTTGAAAATTGAAACAAGTAGAGCTCCAATAGCCAACTCGTCAGGAACTCTTTCAATTTGCACTTTAAATTGTAGATCTTCAAGAAATATATCAATGTCATAAACGATTACATTCAGTCAAATAACATCGATCTGATGGTGCTAACTGAAACATGGCTCGGATCTGACACAGATAACGCCATTTTGTCTGAACTAATACCATACGGATCTAATATCATAAATAAACCAAGGGTAGATCGAAGGGGTGGAGGCCTGGCGATTATTCACGAAAAACAGGTTAGTGTGAAACCTGCGAACAAAGATGCCAAATACACTCATTTTGAACATCTAGAGTGCTCTGTTGGAGTCAAAAACAACTTTATTCGCATCGCTGTTATATATCGCCCACCACCATCTAAATCAAATAAATTCAAGAATTCCGTTTTCTTTGAAGAATGGACCAACTATCTGGACAGTCTCGTGTTGATCCCTGGTGAGTTACTTATCACAGGTGATCTAAATTTCCATCTTGATGATCCCAATGACAAAGATGCTAGAACATTTACAGAGTTGCTAACAGAACATGGATTAAAGCAGCATATTTCCGATGCAACACATCGTCTTGGTCATACGTTAGATGTGTTGATTACCAGAGAAGATAGTTCTATATTACAGGCAACGCCATTTGTAGCAGATCCTGGTATATGTGACAACAATGGAAACAGAAGTGGTGACCACCTCGCAATTCGCACTTTACTGCGTCTGTCCAAAGCTCCGAGAGAGAGAGAGAACGGTAACCTTTCGGAAAATTCATGACATCAACATGGACAATTTCAGAAACGATCTTGATTTTTCAAACGTGACTTACAAGGAAGCATCTGTTGAAAAGCTTATCATTCACTACAATAGAGTTCTTACTGCTACCATTGATGTTCATGCCCCTCTGAAATCAAAGGAGATTGTTATACGACCGAATACTCCTTGGTTTACGGATGATCTTTATTCTGCTAAGAGAGATCGCCGGAGGGCTGAACGAACTATGAGACGAACAAACCTAGCAGTCCACAAGGACATTTTCAATCAGAAATGTATGCAGGTTACAAAACTCATACAACACTGTAAAAGTCAGTTTTATATAAACAAAATTCAGGAAATAGGCAGCGACTCGAAACAGCTTTTTAAACTTACCAACAATCTCATGGGAAACACAAATTTATCAGTACTGCCAGAGCATGACAGCGAATTCGATCTCGCATCCAAATTTGGTGAATTTTTTATCGGTAAAATTCAGAAAATCAGAGATAACCTTTGCTCCTTGACCAAGTCTCCTACTATGGAAGTTGTCCTTCGAGCTGACATCAAGTTTGATGGCATTCCTCTGGAAGCGTTTGAACCAGTGTCGATTGCTGAGGTATGTGACATTATCGGCGATGCACCAACGAAGTCTTGCGAGTTAGATCCAATACCCACAAATGTTTTGAAACAATGTTTGGAGAGACTTTTGCCAATCATCACTGAAATTATCAACAAATCCTTCTCAGAAGCGTCAGTACCATTGGATTTCAAAAAGGCCATAGTACGTCCATTGATTAAACGCCAAGGACTTGACAAAGATGAATTCAAAAATTACAGACCTGTTTCAAATTTGCCTTTTTTATCTAAAGTATTAGAAAAAGCGGTGGCATCTCGACTCGAAAAACACCTAAACGCTTACCAGCTTCATGATAACGTGCAGTCGGCCTACCGAAGTAGTCACTCTACAGAAACTGCCCTGCTACGGGTGCACCATGATATTACCTCTGCACTGGATAAGAATTCATGCGTTGCTCTCGTAATGCTAGATCTCTCGGCTGCATTCGATGTGATTGATCATGATATACTAATCAGTCGCATCGAATATGCGTTTGGTATCACAGGATCGGCGCTTTCATGGATAAAGTCTTATTTATCTGGTCGAAGTCAACAAATTGCTGTAGGTTCGACATTCTCGAGAGAGTTCTTATTCCAGTTTGGTGTACCACAAGGGTCTGTTTTAGGACCTCGTCTATATTGTATGTTCTCCAAACCCATCGGAGAAATTTGCCGGAGACATAACATGTATTACCATTGTTATGCTGATGACACACAGGTTTACCTGATTATTAACCCGAAGGACAGTTGGGACGACATTGCGAATAGACTTGAACGGTGTCTGTCTGATATACAAGACTGGATGCAAAACAACATCCTTAAGTTAAACCAGGATAAGACTGAACTCATCATCTTTACACCGAAACGTATGGCAAATGAATTTACAGGACGTAAACTCGCTTTTGGTGGATCAGTCATCAGTAATGCTTCCTGTGTTAAAAATCTCGGGGTATTTTTCGACAGCAAATTAAGCATGGACTGTCAAATCAATTCGGTTACAAGATCCTGTTATTTCCATCTTCGTAACATCGGTAGAATAAGATCACTCATAACAGAGGATGCTTGCAGGACACTTGTTAGATCTTTAGTGACATCTAGACTTGATTATGGCAATGCACTATTTTTTGGCCTCAATGCCACATCCTTGCAAAAGTTGCAGAAAGTTCAGAACACTGCAGCCAGACTGGTGACACGTTTGAGAAAACATGAATATATAACACCAATTCTAATAACTCTTCACTGGCTACCTGTGGCATACCGTGCACAATATAAAATTCTGTTGTACACTTTCAAGGCCTTACAGAAGCTAGCCCCGAAATACATCCAGGAAATTGTTCAGGTCTATCGCCCACAACGTTCACTGCGGTCTGGGGATTCACTGAGCCTTGTTAAACCACGCACTCGAAGTAAGATGTATGGAGATAGAAGGTTTGATGTATCTTCAGCCACCCTGTGGAACTGCCTCCCGCTGGATCTTAGGAAAGAACAGTCACTTGAAGTTTTTAAAAGAAATCTAAAAACACATCTTTTTAGACTCGCCTTTAGTTTATAAGGCTCTAGTCACAATTGAGCATCCAGTTGGTTTTATTTTATAAAAAAAAAAAAAAAAAAAATGCCTATGATTTTACCTTTTTGCTATTTTATATTGTACCCGTCCTTTGTTTTATATTGTAATTGTTTTCTACGTGTAAAGCGCTTTAGGGTAATTCCATAATTATATAGGGCGCTATATAAAAGTAGATTAATAATAATAATAATAATAATAATTGAGAAGTATATTTTGGATAAGTACTCATAAAGTGTAACTCAAAATCGCAAAGAAAATAGGGGGTCAGTGTTCATCCTACTGATCTACGGTACATTTAAGTTGACCTTTTTGCACTTAAATTTCATCTCTTTGGTTAATTACTTTAACCCTTATTATATTTGATAAGATGTAAGCATGGCAATAAATTTAATCTTATTTTACGTAAAATAGTTTGAATAATTTTTATCATTAAACAAATCTTGCAAATTAATGCGCATAAATTATTGTGTGACCTTTTTGCACTAAAAAATAACATATTTGGGGTCTTAAAAACTTAAAAGGCAATAAAAAATTTTCTTATATCAAACTTTTTACGACTTGAGTGCTGATCCGTCACAAGTATCGAGTAGTTTAAAATAATGAAAGAAAAAGGTGGGGTCAGTGATGTTAATTTTGAAATATTCGTCAAAATATGTGATTTTCAGGCAAAAAATGGTGTAGATTTGACCTTGACTTCTTTAACATATTTTCATTTTTTGGAAAAGTTTGTTGAGGGAAGGTGTAAAACTTAGTCTAAAAATATAAATTAAGACCTATATTAGCTATTTTTAGCAATATCAAAACGGAAAATATTCTCCGAGTATAAGTATGTGAGTCTAAATTTCCATTACATTAAATTTTATAAATGTGCAGATTTGCAGAATTTTCTGCTAAATATCCTTCCACCAAAAGAAATAGTCCCTCATAAATATTGCTTCTTTGTAGATTTTTGAGCAGTTTTTTTCATTGAATGTTAAAAAATTTACATTGTTGAATTTAAATGTGTTATAAAAATTGAATTTTAAAAAGCATGTACATCATGTCACTCAGAACCTTTTTTCACACATGAGTGAACAAAGCAGACCCAGAAAGCAGTCCCACAGCAGTCCAGGAATTGTTTTTCTGGGAACTGCTCAGGTGTCAGGTTGGGTCTGGTTGATACTGTAACTCCAACCAATCAAAAGTTTTGGGCAATATTAAAGTTTTGCAGACAAACACAAAAGCAGCTTAACAGACAGGGCAAAAACTATATTTCCCGAATCATCAATAACGGGGGGCATAATAAACATGTTTTTTGTACAGTAGTATTTTTTTTACCTAAGACAGTACCTTTTTCACGTTAACCACATATCAACATTTCTGCCTTTTTTTTATTGGAATTTGAGAAACTATCCCGTTGGAATAATTATATTGATTAATTAAATAAATGATTGTATATTGTTTAACGTCCCTCTCGTGATTTTTTCACTTATTGAGACGCTAAAACTTGCCAGTAAAGAGCTGCAAATTTTTGTTTTATACTCGGCACTCAGGGCCATTGAGCAGGGAGGGGTCTTTTTCGTGTCAGTATATACTGCGACATTGATACGGTTTCATCCAAAGGACCGGTCTCCATGTCCCACAGTGGGACTTGTGACGTAAGGATCAACTCCTTACTTCGCGACTCTAGAGCAGATGCTCTAACCACTGCGCCACGCGGGCGACTGGAATGAATAGAAGATTGCATACAAAACCTTCCTTACTGTCTTGTTGTGTTAAGCAATGGTAGGTTGTTCAATTTGTTTAACAGGACCATATTTTGTTTTCCAGTTTTCTTTCGGGTTCATATAATACGCAAGTTTCGAGATTATCTCCCTTGGTGCGCTCTTTCGTTGAGGATGGGTGTTTGGTTGCCGCGTAAACCAAAAGGTATATTGCATCATCTATAGACTGGTTTATCGTAACTATATAATTGTAAGGATGCACTGTTCAACTCGAGAATTATCAAATTTAAGTATAGGTGTCATTTTTTAAATTAAAAACTCGAAACAAAAAGAAATTTAGTGGATGTGAGACTATTCAGACTAGAGAAAAGATATATGGACCTCTAATAAATACAGTGAACATGAAACTGATCATTACATGTCGACAATCTTAATGACACTTTGATTTTTTTCCCCTTATTATAACTTCAAAAAACCCACTAACTTTTGAGAGAATGTTTGACGTACAATCAAGAAAATCTTTTAGTTTTTACATTTATTACGTTTTCAAGTACCCTAAAATTGAAAGTAGATTTGTAAATATTTACAGCTGAACTTGATAGAATTATAAAATGCATCACTATTTAACATTTTTATCTTTCTATAACAGTAAATAATTTTAAAAGCCATTAACATCGTTCATTGATTTATGCACGTTTGTATACATAAACAAACTGTCCCACCTCCATGCTGAAATGGATACTTTTTGCGCCTCTATCGCAGGAGAGTTACAATCTCGAAACTGGCGTATTGTAGACAGCTTTTATCCCGTGTAACAATTTTATACAGGAGTCTTTCATTACATTTCCCATTAAATTTCAAAAGTTTTAGAGAAATTTGCAGTCGCTTTCTTTTTAGCCTAGTGGTAGAGCGTTCGCTTCGTGATCGGGAGGCCCGGGTTCGATTCTCGTTCCTGACGCCGCGTCAAACCTAAGACGTAAAAATAGGTGGCTACTGTTCCTTTGCCGAACTCTCGGCATCAGAAGTGAATGTCACAGGTCTTTCGGATATGACCTTAAAAACGTAGGTCCCGTGTCACGATTGGCGCTGGCACGATAAAGAAACCTCACCGCTCAAAGGCCCTGAGTGCCGAGAATAGGTCTAAATTTGGTGCCCTTCACCGGCATACGATGACGTCTCCATATGAGTGAAAAATTCTGGAGATGGACGTAAAACAATATACAATCAATCTTTTTTGCACATGTGCGGGATTCAACTCGCAGATACTGTTCTGTTTTCCAGAACGTTGTTTTATCACAATTCTTTTAAAATCTTTAAATAAAAAGCTACCCGTTGAAAAGTTCAGCTTCTAGGCAATCTGATTGGCGGTCACTCTAACTTCTCTGTACAAAACGGTTTTCCTAACTGCAAGTGATTTCTCATTGACCAGCCAGTGATCTAGGCCTTCTTGGCTATTTTATTCTTAACTGAACCCTTGCCGAGTTTTAAACGTTTTATTCATCGATAAATGGTTTTGATAAATGCAACAAAGATTCCATATTATGAAATGAGTTTTTCGAAAAAAAAATTATTTTCCTGTAATATTCATAAGAAAAGGAAATTTGAAATATGACCTGATATTCAAAATCTCCTTTCATGACTTTCCTTCTGTTTTCATGTTAACAGTGTCCACAGGATGGGTCCTAACAAGATGTTCTCTTTGAAAATTCGCTTAATGAATAGACTGTGATTAAGTAACAAATAAATAATCATGAAAGACAATGACTATTTTAGGTGACGTTCCAATTCAATGAAGTATAGCATTTAAAGAAATACATTTAGACTCATTAAATAATGAATAGCTGTCGTAAATGTATTAACATTATTTCGTCAGCAAAATATACATTTTGATCTTCTTGAAGTAGTAAAAATGCATATTGTTCCTACTTTTAATTCTACCACAAAGTAACAAATTCTAGGGTATTGAATGTTGTCTGTTCTCTTTGGTTTTAAATAAAATTACATGAAATTTAATTATTAAGCCTCCGGAACATTCTCCTAATAAATTGATAAAATAATTATTTGATGCATTTCATTTTGCAGATATGTTCACTACAATTGTCCAAAGAAAGCACAAAGGATGATGAAACCACAACTGAAAAGCGTGCCTCTCCTTGGAGCTCCTATTCTTTCATGCACATATATATGTTTGTTTTCTTAGCTATATTCTTTTTATTCCTTGGGGTTATCCTTAGTTACATGTTGAAACTCGAAAGTAATTCAGGTAAAACTGAAAAAGATTTAGAATTAACCGCAATGGAAGATATTAAGATGTATTTAGAGGAATTCAAAAGAGACAGTGAAAGACCTTGGAACTATATACCAGATGAGAAAAATGACAAAAAAATTAAAATGATGAACCAAATTATGGAAGCCTTACGGGAGATTAAAGAGGATCAAAAGCAAAATCAGAAGTCTTTGGAAAACATATTGTGGGGAATGGAAGAAATTGTTGAAAAATTTTCTGAAAAGTTCCAGGATCTTTCAAAAGCAATGTCTAATATTAAAATCAATAGTCAGCAACAAACAGAAAAGGCAAGCAAGGAAAGAGAGGGAAACGAGATTAAAGAAAGCATATCAAACCGTGGTAAGACTCTACTTATGTATACCATGTTTAACTGTTTATTATAATTTTTTATTATCATATATATATATATATATATATATATATATATATATATATATATATATATATATATATATATATATATATATATTTACTCCGTATGCAGGTGTTGAAGGTATATTGCTGCATACGTAAGGGAAGTTGACGATAGAAAAATTAAAGTCATCACGTTTATCATATAGCTTAATTGTTAGATTACCATTTTCAGGTAAAATATACAAGTATGAAACAGATGTGTCAGACTCTGTCTGTCCATAAAAATCCTTTTAAGGCTTCATAAACAAAGGTTAAGGATATAAGGTTTTTGCCCTGTCTGTCTAGCTGTTTGTCCGCTAAAACTTTAATCTCATAAGATAAAGCTATGGCTTCCATATTTCACCTGTGTATTCCTTGTGACAAGATTTGTTGAATTGGGTAACAACATATTTGACCTCTTGATATGGGAGTTTGACCCACCTATGCAAAAAATTACTAAACTTTAACCTTTGCGGTAAATTTTGAATAGCTGGTGCTAGAGATTTTGTCTTTCAAGTATTTATTTCCTTTTAACAAGACCTTTACATGAGTGAAAAAAATTGACCTTTACCACTTCATAATTGAACCTACTTTTGAAAAAGTTTACTTTTGAATAACTTTTTAAGATTTAGAACTAGGACCTTCATATTTTACAGATGCTTCCTTTGGATATGAACAATTTTGGCCTTTTGACCTTCACCTTGGAATTCCTCTTAAACTGTATATTCTAAAAACTATATAACTTTTGAAAAGTTAGTGCATTTAAATATTTTACATGCATATTTCTTAAGACAAGAAGATCTCCAATATAGCTTTAATTTGACCATTTGACATCAATCTTTGATTGTGACTCACATTTAACTAAAATATTAAACTTTTGAACCGTTAGTGCTTTGGCTTTGTATTTCACATTCATTGAGACTATTCCTTTCTTTGGGTAACAACATTTTTTTTCATTTCTTGACTTTGGGGTTTGATTTGCATTCGATAAATTGCCATATGAAGGCACCAGTGTTTCACACACGCATCCTGTTTTAATACATTATTCGTCTCTGTGTATTGTCTGATTTTTATTCTATCAGCAATAATTATGGATTTGAAAAAAACACTAAATATTCTATCTATTTTTTTTTTCTTAACATTAAAGCTGGTTTTGCGATTCCATGAAATTCTATAATCCTCTTGAAATCGCACATTTCTAAGACTCTGTCGATCAATTAACAAATAATAAACAGTAAACAAACTTATATTCCATGAAGAAATACAAATTAATCAAACATGGATCTCTGAATATAGAAATAAAAATAGAACTGGGATCAGGTGAACTTGAGTAGTGAGCAAACCCTTTGAAACAGTCGCGCCTGTTGTTGTCATGTTCAGACAAACTGAAAAATTCATAGACACTTCAGTATAAAAATAATAGCTTATTTACAATTTGTTTGAAAAACAACATTTGACTTTGTGATACATGTATATTGATATTTGAAAACAGGGTCACTGTTTCGATCATAGCATTTTCAAAACATTGACTTTTAACGAGATTCTTGATATTCTTATATCATCAGTTTATTTGACAGTAGCCTTCCTCGGTTGTTTGAATTAATAAACTACTTTATCTATAGAGATCTGTTTTGCAGTGAGGAAATTCTACATTTTGCATCTACTTACATTTAATTTGACCCGAGATTTACAAGTTCTTCTCGCTAATTTTGCATTGTGTGTGCTCTAGTGCCTAGATTATTAATGTAATCACTTAAGAAATGTTTAATATGCTGTTGTCGTTCCATGTTTGTCTATAAAATGCTTACAAAAAAGTGTCAAGGGATATTATTTTTCTAAACTTCCATGCAAGTATATTTATTTTTTTTATGTTAAAATCAAATTTCCCTAATACATGTACAACGTGAAAGGTGACGATAACGAGCATTGATAAAACTCATAAACCAGATAAGGAAAAAGTCGTGAATAGATCAAAAGTAATAGCTATTGAGACACCAGAGAAAGGTCAGGTGCCTCGGAAGAGTAGACATCCTCTGGCGCCCGTTAAACATTATCTACCAGGATGACGGAATAATCCATAGTTATTTTTGTAATAAAAATAACAACTGGTATTGAACATCCATTTAATTTGTGAATAAGATATTGGTTGTATCATTTGCAAACTACGTCATATTATAACATTTATCGCGATATGCATGCCTGTAACGACACATTTATTTTGTTTGCCACAAAAAAATAATTGTATTCAGAGCCTGCTTGTCATTTCGTTAGTAGACGTAAACATGAAATATAGATGATAGTGGAATTATAGAAATAGGGTAATTCGTTTTGATTTCATTGGGATATATCGAGTCCAAAAAAGAATGCGAAACAAGAATTGCTGCTTGAAACAATGTCAACATTTTTTTTTTCAAAAGTCATAGAAAGTATTTTGTTCCCAGGCAGAGTTGCCTGCGTGGTGCAGTGGATATAGTGTTTGCTCTAGAATCGCGTTGAAGATGCCTCACTGCTCAATGGCCTTAAGTGCCGAGTAATGGACAAAATTTGCATCTCACCGTCGACAAGTGGTGGCATTTCCATATGAGTGAGAAATTCTCGAGAGGAACATTAAAACAATGTAAAATCAATCTTTTCAGGCATATGTTTTATTTTATTTTTATTTTTCAAAATAATTCATATGCTTTTTATATTTATATCCAAATTGGTCGGCTAATAAAGGGACGCAATCACAGCAAAAAGCCAAAATGTGTTGGAAAATCTTACTTTTTTATGATTATTTCATTTATGCATGTGATGTCAATCAGAAACTCCAGTATCATATTGATATCAACATTAGAGAACTTGAATATAGAAATGAAATGATATTTCACTGTAAGTTATCAGATGACAGAGCTATGAAACTATGTTTCACACTGTCACTATGAAAACTTACTGGTTCTCTTTCATACTTTTTTATACTCCAGGTCCTTAAAGGCCCTTCACCTGTGCTCCAGTAAATTGACATCGATACAGGAACATCCCATACTAAGGGAGGTGTCAGCAAACGATCGTGTTATTGCCATTGATCAAGAATTATTGGAATGTAATTACTCTCACCATTGAAACATTTGTAATGTGTGAGTGTTCCGTTGATTTTAATGATACATGAAGACTTATAAATTACTGTGTACCAAACTCCATTCTGAGAAAATAGTTGTAAGTTTTCTTTTTTCAAGGGTTTATATTGCCATCGTACATAATGATATCTGCAACGTAATTTTGAACTCTATTTTCATATTTCAAGAATCATTCAAAGTAGAAATAATTGAGGGCCCTTTGTGTAATGTAATGTTGTCTGGTAATACTGTTAACTTTTTCTGACTCGAATTTTGGAAAAATACCTGCTGGAACTTTTTTTTAATTTTTTTTTTAAAAATACTATGAATACTCTCATCATTTGATTTTTCTTGAAGTGTACATTTATTTTTTTTTCAAAGAACGTGTGATGGAATTAAGCACACATCTTGAAAAATTCTCAGTGGATAAGTACATTGTTAAGAATATGTACATGTATGTTGCTTGTGTCCTTCATCTTGTTCATGCACTTTATTGCTTTGTGTTGTATGTCACAGCATTTGAAGTTCATGTTCACTTATATTTACCAATATTTTTGAATGGATTGGGGGAAATTATTGTCTAATGTATTTTAGTTATTTGATAAGGCGTGTACTGAGACAAATTAGTCTCAGAAGTAGAGATAATATTCAATGAAAAATAGTTAAGAATAAAAAAAAAAAGTAAAGATAAAAAACAGCGATCAATCTCAACAAATCTTCAAACAATACAAAGAAGATAAGATTTTCGTGCTTAACCAGTTTTTCTTTATAGAAGCAATGGACTTTGCATACTAGTTAAAGATTTGAAAAAAAAATTGCGCCTGCATAGTTTTGAAAGAGGGGACTTTAAGGGTTTTTTTTCAGTAGTTTGTTTATAAGCTACTGATAAGATCATTAGGAGTGAGCATCCGATGCAATTTAATACTAAACTGTATGTGTAAATGAAAATTTATGTTAGAATTAGAAATAGCACCAAGCAGCTTTATTTTCTTTTTCACACGTTCCTATCTCAAACTTCCTATCGCCTAAAAAAACTCCTCCTTGCTTTTAAGGTAGGATTCTTCTCTTATTTCTTGTATTTAAAATTAATGAATTTTCACAGAATCAAGAAGACAATAAAAGTAAGTGTTAATATACGCAGTTTGATTAAATTTGACCGTTTCAATTTACAGGCAATGTCAGGTCAAAGTCATTATCTTTTCCTTGACATTAAGAATAAAACAGTACTGCTGCCAATCATATGATGCCTATTTCTATTTCAAAAGTTTAAAGCTTGTTTTTGCATAAAAAGATATTACTTTATCGGGTCTATAGCATGATATTACCAAAGAGTGCTATAGACACGATATATGTAATATCTTTTTTAGTCCCCTACCGGTGAAACCGATGGGGACTATAGGTTTCCTCTGCATCCGTCCGTCTGTCTGTCTGTCCGTCTGTCTGTCCCCGTCTGTCCCACTTGGTTTTCCGCACTTTTTTTCTAAACGCTGGCAGATATTGTGCTGAATTTTGGTAAGTGGGTGTATCTTTATGAGTTACAGATCAAGTTTGAATATCGTTGCGATTCAATGATTTTTAACGGAATTACGGCTTTTTCAATTTTTCAGGGTTTTCCGCACTTTTTTTCTAAACGCTTGTAGATATTGAGCCGAATTTTGGTATGCCATTTTATCTTGATGAGTTACAGATCAAGTTTGAATTTTGCATAGCTTCATTAATTTTTGACAGAATTATGGCATTTTGAATTTTTCACATTTGTTTAATG